GAACCAAATCATCTGTTCCATTTGTGATTTGTCAGCCACTTTGTCTCTGTTTTGTTTTGTTTTTATTTAGGAAAAGTGCTTGTCCTCCCTAAAAGGCACTTCACTCTTGACCAATGAGACACTCGGTCCAATCCCCGTCAAAATAATACAGATGCCTTGTATATTAATAGATGCTTTCTGATACCATGTACAAATGTCAGCAGAGGAAGCCAAAGCCTGTTGAATTTATTTGAAACCTTCTAAATCCAAGAATGTACTTCTCAAACTTTAACATTTGAAGCTATCAGGATCTTAACAGGCTACAATTATCACAGAATAAATCACGTTTAGCATGTAATGACTTAATATCATGTCATGAATGCAGTTTTATAAATCAGAAATTTAAGGAAAAATAAATATTGTTAGAAGGAGGAAAGGATGAGGTAGAAGTAGTGCACGTGAGCCATCTTCCAAAAAGAAACAACAAATTTTCTGGATGAAAATGGCCTTATGAGTGTCACATAAGTAAATGACCGATAAAATATATCCAGCCGTATTCCAGCACAGCTACCCTAGCCTGTACAAACGTCGGGACTAGATATCCATCTAACTCCTCAACATTGAATTTCCAGTTCATAATCCATATCAAACAATGGATAAATCATAGTACATAACTTCTAATAAAAATAAATTAAAGGCACAAAACCAAATTTGTGGGACTCAAGTCTTTGGCACCTGACTAGTGGTTGTCCCGACAGCCAACAGCACAATAGCCATCCACTGCAAGTTAGAAAGCCTCCTACCCAAAAACATCCTTGAAAGAAACAAAATGAAAATTTAAAAACTTCAGACACTAATTGAGAAATCAAAAACACTGTTCTGAAATATGAACCGTGAAAAGAGAAGGCACCTGAATAGCAACCCAGTGGTAACAATCTTCAAATTTCCCATTATCTGATAGGTGGAAGTGTCCACATAAGTGAGTGTAGCAAACTGCACATTGTTGTGGATCAGATATATAACTGAGGGAATAGGGAATAGAGCCACCGTTTTCCACTCCGTTGTCATCTTTGGCAGAGGAGACTTTTTGCATTCCCTCCACAGTAACAAACTTGACACCGCAAGCTGAGTGTGATGACAAAGATGAAATCATAAACCGATGTCACGCAGCACAAAAACTCGGTTCCTATCGAATAAAAATTGACGCATTAAGTGTTTTTCCATTTACCTTGAAAATCTCAGCAAGAAATGGGACCGTAGCGTAATCATACTTGTACTCTCCGTTACTTTGCGAGAGGGTTGTGAGTATTCCCTGCCACGTGAAACTTATCGAAATCAAATTAACATTAACTACTTCAAGTGTGCGTAAATGGACGATGGAAATGGGTGAAATTAGGGTTTGAATGTGAGGATTTGGGAGAATGGAAGAGAGTGAGAGTTACCTGAGAACTAGTGAGAACGGTGAGGAGCGCAGCGACGAAGTACCACTGCATCTTCTAACACTTCCGCAGATCCACGCACAGAGACTCAAGAAACACGCACCCAAACGCACCGTTTAGTGCCAATTTTCTTTCATTTGCTATGAAGGGCTTTGGCGCGGGTCCTCGTTATTTAATACCAAAATATTATTATGTGAATCAAAAAAGAATAATGTCTTTTAAATTCAACAACCTCAGTCGAAGCCTTTGGATGGTGTGAAAAAGAGAGAGAACAAAGAGAAAAAATAAAAATTAATGACAAATTTGTTTAGGAAAAATAATGAACTAAAAGATTATAAAATGCGGGTTTGATTTAAAAGACGAAATAAAAAAGAGAAAAGTGAAATTTTGTCATAAATAACTTTTATGTCTCAAATTCAACAAATGGAATAACAATAATCAAATTAAAATGAATTAAATTAAAGTAATCAAACTATAATTCATACTTAACTGATTACAAATAATGTGTAATAATATAGGTACATTACAATCAAAATACCATCTTATTGTGTTCAAAAGATATACTATGTGAATCACTAGAACAAACACTTCTTCTACAACTCTAACAAAAAGAGTTAGAATGATATAATATACATATTTTTAAATTAAATATTATTAAAGTATATAACTTATATAAAAATTATTAAAGAAACATTGTTTAGAATATATATATATATATACACACACACACATATATACTACTCATTTAATTACATTTTTAGTTTTTTTTTTCATCTAAACTACATGATTTTTATCTGACAAATATTTTGTAAATTAAATAAGTCTCATCATTTTTAAAATTAAGCATAAGTGGTCGTTTTTTTTTTGTCAGTTTTATCTCTCCATGTAAATTCCTCGAATTCTTGTTTCATATTCAACATTTCCATATTTACAATAGATTTGAAACATAGAATAATTTAAAATTTAAGAAACATGAAACTCGGTAGAATGCTGATAAAAAAAATGAAGGATTTAATTTTATAGAATGTGAAGAAGAAAAATCAGTTTTTTCTTCTTTTTTACTTCATGAAAAAATATAATATTTTAGTTATAGTAATCCAAGTAAGAAAATTAAAACAATCTAATTGATTTAACCTGTAAAAATAAATAAAATAACAATATTTTAAAAAATTGCTTAATTTAAAAATAAAGAAACTTAATCAACTAACAAAACATAAACGTTCAGGCAATCTAAATCAAAAATAATAATAATAATAATAGGAAGCTAAATAATTTTTTATTTATTTGTTTGTACTTTGTATTGTTATTTCTAATAGTAATTTCTTTATCTTCATCCCTATACCAAGTATACTTAATTAACCCTACCTGACGAAAGAGACAACATTTAGGGTAATCTTGTGAGAAATTGAAGCAGAAATTTCGGTGGCTGTAATAAGAAATTGAAGAAGCAATTTAACAAACCCACAAATAGTTGAGCCATGGTTACAATGTAATAGATTTTCTATATATTGCATGCACCAATTATGGGAGACAATCAAAATAACCTCACATTTTCAAATAGAAACACAAAATTGGAAACATGGAATCGAGAATCGAATGTGTTCAAACTTTAGCTCAACTCAAATTAGGTCAAGGGCTTTTGTACACATCCTTATGATCTATTTATGTATATATACTCTCACAGAAACAAGTTCCAGGCATGCACACAAGCACATGTACGAATCAACAGATGCAGAGAGTTTAAAATCTTGGTTTGATTTGAAGAACCAAATTTATTAGAGAGAATATGGCAGAACCAGAGAAAGAAAAAAAGAGCGAGATCGATACGCTGGAAGAGTGTGAAGAGGAAGAAAATGCTGTTGTTGGTGCATTGAGTGATTCACACATGCCAAATACATCTCTAGCTGAGCTGAACATGTTGCTTGTGTTGCTCTCGTTATTCTACTTCTCAAGCGATGAGTGTATAGAACACGAGGAGAGTAAAGAGAAGATAAAGGATGAGGTTACTGTAATTAGAAAATGCACATCACGATTGCAAAGAAAGAAACGAGGGAGACACGACCCTAAGCTTGGGAGAAAACCAATTTCAGCTAGATTTCAAACTACAGTAAAAGACTCCAGGTAATTGAGCTTCCACACGTTATGTTATATCATTTATTACACATTAAGTTTTTCTAGCTTTGTTGTATGAATTGTTGCGTTATCTTTCTCTTTTCAAAACATGATACAAACTTAGAGCTTGAGACTCGGCATTTTTTAGTGGTACTGATTGATTTTCTCCTGTTTGGAAGAAAGAATCTGAATTAAAATACAGAAGATTCTCTAAGATTAGGAAAAGATGGAGTATAATTTGGATTTTGGCACCTGAATTCATCCTGCTTGTTTTTCTGAAACCAAACAAGTGGAAGAAAAACAATTCATAACTCTTTTTTTCATTTTATAGTTTTGTTTCCAAGAAAAAAAAACGTATAGCCTAAAAATCTGAGTGATTATTATTGTACAAAGTCATTGACATCAGAGATTGTTCTTGTGTTCAGGCATGGAAGAAAAATGTGAAGTAAAATTTTTCTGTTGTGGAGGAATACACATATCAACATATGTAGAGCTTATGGCAAGATTTTGGAAATGGGTTTTGTTTGCATCAAGGTACATATGAATACCATTTTAGAAGCTGTAGATAATTGAAGTAAGAATGATGGTGGACTACACCAGTTAACATTCTTGACGCAATTCATGTATATACTATATGAAACAGTGTTAGTTGGGATTTGAATACCGATCGGTAGGGATGTTTAAAACCCAACCTAATTTAAAATTGAAGAAATGTTTAGGATTGAAAATTAAATATATTAATACATGAATTGCTTAGATTGAATTGGGTTGTTATTACAATTTTATAGTCCGTGTTTAGTTTATTTAAATTGGCTGTATTAGATAAACTTATTATGAAGGTATAATCATTTGTTTTCACGGAGTTTTCTTAAAATATGCGATTCTTTTCCTTCTTAAAGAGTCTCTCAAACATGGGCTAAATACTGTTTTAAAATGATATTTTACTTGAATGGTACTTAGCAGCAGTCCATCAATGTTGTTTAGATATCCATATTCTGATAAATGTCCAAGATTTCCAACTACATGGCATGTTTACTTGAATGGCTAAGTACTATATAGTTGGGGGAAAGACTTGTCATTGACTATCATTCTGCCCTTTATCATATTCTGATAAGATCTAGGAATCAGAGAGAAAAATGTTCAGATATTGACCGGTTTGTTAAGATTGTATGGATATATTTCATTAGGGGCTTGTAGCCACATATATTTCCAATTGTAGACCCACCTTTTATCCAATAATTCTATATATAAAAATAATTTACTATTCATAAGGATAATGACTATAATTAGTCGAGTCAATTTTCAGCAATGGTTTTTTTAACTTATCCCGTCAAATCGATTGTAATAAAATAAAAGGTAACACGTATAACTTCAGATTATTTTGAAAACATAAAGTAAAATTGCAGGACTATTGGTTGCGTTACAGTGATGCTAGTAACTTACAAACAGTGATAAAAAAATTCTAAGGCATGCAGATAAGCCTGTGCATTGTTTTTCCTACAACATTTATTGCAATAGAAGATGAATATCAAGCTAAGAGCTACATCATGTTCATAGAGAAAAACAAATATGATACAAGGGAAATAATTTATGCACACTAACTAAAGTGCTTCCTATCTCAATGAAGAGATGTAAACCAAGAAACTAACCCTAAGTTATCATCTCTGAGCATCCCCTTGTCTACAAGAAAACAACAAACAGTCAAATATCAGATGTCTGACAATCTTCAGTCTGATATTCTGATCTCCACACCTAAAATGTCCTTCACCACCTCATATGTTACAAACGCGATTGCTATGGATGGGACCACCTGCGAGAAATCAAGATTCAAGAGAGATTAAGATTGCTCATATCTTCAGTTAATTGCTTTTAATGGAGGTTGCTATGCAAAGTGCACTGATTTGGGCTATTCCACGCTAATTGTAAATGACTTTTAAGCAAATTCTAACATGAAACCAAAATCTTATAACCAATTCATAAATTAATGAAACAACGTTTTCACTAATAAAGTTTAAAAGATTGTTTTTGACTTGGATTGAGAAAATGTGGGACAACGTTAATATCATTAAAAGCCTTAGATAGTATGTTTTTATTGGTAGTTGATCATGCACTTCATCAAGCTGATCTGGATTAGTATATAATTTAAGTTCAAAATGTGAAATGTTTGACTCAGACTACAGACACTTGAGTCCTACAAATAACTATTGAAGAACAGACTTTGTTCTAATCAGGTAGAAGCTTGTGAAGTTCACAGTTTTAATCAGGAAAGTAACACCAACAGAGTATGATATAGGAATCGCACACAGAAAACATTCGGATGACATATATTAATGTATGAACAAACTTGTTTTAAGTGCTTCATAGATATAGTACATTAATAATACCTTGGTCGAGAGAAGAAAGGAAAACCTTACTCAACGGATGCATTGCATATATTTACGCACATATGTTTTACCCACATTTTTTCAGGACGTAACATAATTTATGAATACTGGAGGAAGTCTGACCTTTACAGAATTCGGCACCAGACCCTTGTATAATGCACCAAATCCTTCATACCGAACAGTTTTCCTAAAAGCATCAATCATGCCACTGTATTCAAGCGGAACCTTTCCTCGTCCATCACCAGCTATGACAGAAGCAGCGTGGTTCCAACCCACCATCTGCATTCTTCGTCGAATGACATCAAGAGGGTAAGCAACGGTTTGTCCCATAGTTCCAGCTGCAGCACCACAAGCCAGGCGAGTTGTCACACTCAGCTCGGAATCTTGAACTATACCAAATGGATTGGATTTAACTAACCAATCTTTCAAAGACTCATAAACAGCAAAGTTGAGACCCACATAAGGAATCTGAAAAACAGGAACAAATTAAAAGTAAGATTAAGCCAATAAATCCGGTGACAGAACCAAACCGGAGCTTTCATTCAAATTTAAAAGCAAACTTTAGTTAGTTAACTATCATTACAAAGCACACAGAATATTTTATAAGATTAACTTTTCACATTTCTATAAACTTTCAGGATGTTAGAAATGAGAGAAGAGGTAGCAAACTAGTACAACTGGTATGTTAGTTAATAGTTAGTTTGAGGGAGGGAGTTAGTGATATAAATAAATAAGAGGACTGACAAGAGGGGAATTCATTTTATCAGCTATTATTTGTAAATTAAGTTTTTGCTCTTTATCAAGGCAGACATCTGTTCATCTTTTGTGGATGGAACGGTTAGAGGGAGAGATTTATCTCCTTTGTTCTATTCATTTTCATTCTATCAATTTGTTTTGCCCAACAACTCTTTTCTGGTTTTGCAACAAAAATTGAAAACTTATGCTGAAGCATGATTTAGATTTTAACGTGTTGTGCACCTATCTATTTTCCACCTAGAACCTACCATAACCAGGTAAAAACTTGTCACCATAACACCCCTCGCCCCCCAATAGTTGTACTAATTATTAGAACTTACAATCGATTGAGTCAGAGCATTGAGCAGTGGAAAGCCTTTTATGTAAATAAATTGTTCTTGGAAATATTTTAACCAGTAGAAGAACAATTATTAGAAAATATAGTTAAATAGTGAAGTCCAAATCATTAAAACCAAACATGTCAATGTTAAATGCTGCTTTATGATCAATCCTACACCCTGATGTTGATCCTATGGTCTGCACAAAGTACTGACTAGATGCTATCTAATTACAGATAATAACCAGGAATAACTCACTAAAGACATTAGTCACACATCCTTACCAACATACCCCACATCTATAAGTGGCGCCAAAAAGTAATGGTATTAAATTGTCCCCTAAGAAGGAGGTAGACATTGACAAGAACTCAACAAAATCAAGTCAGTGTTTCCTAGGTTCTCTCCCCCAACTGCAGTCTGCAGGTCCTGATTGTTACCGTCAAATGTAATATGAATTTCCAGAGGGCCAATAGTATAAGAATATCATTAGAATTCTTTATAATAGAATTTATTATTACGACCAATCATCAACTTCCTATAAAGAAATTCCAGAAAAATTGCTTACAACTCCAATGACTGAAGGAAGCCATCCCTTATACAAAGCACGTGGACCTTCTTCCCTGAGCACAGTTGACAGAGCATGAAACATTCCTCTGTATTGGTAAGGGGACTTCTCTGTCTGCAAATACAAGGAAAAGAAAAATTAATTGTGTATTAAGAAAACAAAAAACATTAAGACACTTTGATAAAAACCTTTTTTCCACTTGTAGCTATAACAAGTATCTTAATTTTATGCGTTTCCAGCTACCTTTCTGACCAAAAGCAAGTAAAACAGGGAATAGGTAAAAAGCAAAAAAGAAAGTACCTGTACAGTTATTCTGCCTCGAACCATGTCCATCGGGTAAGTTGCAGACATGGCAATTATTCCCGCACAAGCTCCAGCCCCAAGACGTAAAACAGGAGTCAGCTGAGCATCCTCTGCCGAAGTACAAGGAAAATAATATTTAGAAAAACGGGTTTAACTATTGAGAAATTTCTTTAGGCCTACTTGTTTCCATTTGATTGTTTTTAGAAATATTTTTCAAAAGGAAATTATTGAAGTCAACCTAGTGGGTATTAGGGTTAGCTTATTCTGAGTTCAAAACAATTGATGATCAAAATTTTACTAGAATTTTAAAAAAAGGACAAAAATTAGATAGAGTTCCTTTACACACTTGTAGCGTTGCTCTCCAATATAAAATAGTAATGTTTATACCCAAGTATGAAATATTTAAAAAAGAGGATGAAGTGGTCCAAAATTAATATACATGCTATGCTCTGCTGGAGAACAGAACCTAAAGAAGTGATTAAGTTTTATCCTTTTAAAAAAGTGACTTCCACTCAAAATTATGAAAGCCAAAATAGGCTTCTGAACCAGTACTCCTCCTCCCTGGACAATAATACACATACACGAGAAGGAGAAAATAGTAAACATGGACATACCGTTTCCAGTTTGCTTCTGATACAGTTGTAGTATAGCCCTACCAGAAAAGGAACATTCAGTAAAGAAGAGGAGAAAGTGTTACGTATGAAATGCATAGATATAAAAATTGAAACTTCTTTGCGTAGGAGTGAGAGACCCTCAGCTTAAAGAACATTGTTTTGAAAGCAAAATTAAAAAAGGATTTCAAAATTATCAGCATAAAAGTGTAGTACATGATCGTATATCTAAAGGAAAACTTACTTGGAAGCTTGTTCATAACTGAAGAACTTCACGGCAGAATTCGGGACAATTCGAGCGCAATTAGTCCCATTCCCTTTGAACAGCCCACGAAAACCTTCAGTTCTCCATATATATTTCAGACCTTGAATCGTTCCATTGTATTTTATATTGTGTGGATTCTGAACCTGTTAGTAGCAAAGGTACATCACATCACACGTATGATATTGATCCATCCCGGCACCAACAAACATAGTTGCTTGTCAGATGCACTATTTTTATAACAAGAATAAACAATAGCTAAAATCACATTTCGAAGTAAACAACTAAATTGATTAACCTGTAGCAAAATCTTCAACCTTTCCAGTGGAGCAACTGCTGTTCGTGATCTACAGAGATAGAAAAAAGTTTTCAAGTCAAAAGGCTGAACATAATGCAAAAAGGATGTTGAAATTATATCAAAGAGACATCCAAAAAAGTCAGATTATGTTGATATAAGTATGAAACTACACCCGATAGACTCCAAACTTAAGCAGACTCTCATATTGGACTGGAACACACTACATTCATTCCAACAAGGAAACAGATTTTAATGCAAATCGGAGTTAGTATATTTTAACAAGTTGTCTCACAAAAAATTAGTTCCATAAAAGAAATTAAGCTTTTTACATGGCCACAAAACTGCAGTTTATCTAATACAATTGAAATAATCCATACTCAGGAAGATGTACAAAAACTTATTTTTGCCATTTCCCAGGTGAACAGTAAAGCTTTAATTTTTACTAGATCATATCGTATTCCATTAAATAAAAAAGTAAAGAAAAAAAAAACAAAGAAAGAGATTTCGCCAAACAGGAAAACAAGTGCTTCATTGCTCCTGAGACAGCGAATAATCAAAGTTTAGTTATTAATACTAATATAGCAGGCTTCAATCGAAGCCAGTAGCATCGAAGTTTCCGGAAACAATAACATTTAAAAAAAAAAAAAACTATTTCCAAATAGTCGAATTCTCCTGAAATTGATTGAGCATGCAATCAATGCATACATAGACGCACGCAAATGTCGGGGTATGTGTGTTTCCCAAAAGAAGAAAGAAAAGTTAAAGAAATGAAACGCACACTCCTCCGGCGACTCCTCCGGCGACGAGGGACTTGCAGATGGTGGTAAAAGCATAGGAGGGAGTCTTAACACCTTCCCTGGCTAGCTTGGCTTCCTCGGCCAGATTCACGATCTTTGTCTCCGAAGCCATGAAAACCCTGACCTTCTATTTTTTATTTTAAGCGAAAATAAAGTTAACCGTATGAGAAATTCAGATCTCAGGTTCCCAACGCTTACGGCAAAGACATGTTCTGTGACGGTTCAGACAAGAGAGACAGTGAGAAGAGCCACCAAAACCACAACCAACCTCCCCCTGTGACGGCGTTCGTTTCGATTGTACCATTCATACAATATAATATATATATATATACGTGGACACAGTCCATTACCCCGTAACATCACTCCATTTTAAATGAAGTCACATTTCTCTATTTTAATGCTTTTTCATAGGTGTTTAAGCAAAAAATAATTACTATACATTTCATTATTTAATTATTTTATAATAATCGCAAAATATTGAATACACATCCTTAGATTACTTCATTAATGTTTTGAGTTCAATTCCAAACTCGGATTTAAAACTAAAAATACCATTTTATTTAAAAAAAAATTGGAACCGCAGTGAATTATATCTCTTGGTTATAAAAATAATAGATTCTCGTCTATTTTAATTTATATGAATAAATTCAATCACAATAACTACAAAGTGACTTGATTGAACACATATTAGGATAAACCGGTTTTAAAAAATAGGAATGCGGTCTTGGATAGTTAATTCTCGTCTCTTCTATTTTTTTTTTTTTTACATAAAAAGGTTGTTTAATATTACCTGTAAATAAAAATAAATACATGTTTTTTATACACACATAAAAAACTACAAAATTATAAAATATACTTTGCCCGTTCTCATTTTTCATTTTCTTTACCTCATTCTATTTGCTTTATCTCATTGCTTAATATAATTTATTTTAAAATATGCGAGAAATAAAATTATTTGAGTATATTCTCCGCCACACTTCTTAAAAGTCCAATACCCACCATTAAAAAACTTTTTATTTTTTATTTTTTTTTTATTTTCTGCTGCTACGTTAGCATCAAGGTCCACTAATGGGTGAAAGTGTTGGCCAAACCATAAGGTGCGAGGGAGATAAAACGACCACGTTTTCGTATTTCTCCTTTTGTATTTACTTTTTTATTTTTCTTATTCTCACTCTATTATTTTATTTTCTTTTTTCTTTTTTTTTCAATTACTTGTTTTTTCTCTTCTATGTTTCTTCGATCTCATTCAAACAAATCATTATCTTTTATTCACGAGGCTTTTAAAAAATCAGCAAAAAAGGTATATTAACATGATAAAAAAATAGAATTATAAATGTTTAATCTCAACCCCAGATTAACTATGAAACTAATCATATACATGACAATATGATATCTCCTTACAGAAGTACAATGCAAACATTACCCAAGTGCTTACTCTCGTCGAAAATTTGGTTACTTTGAAAAATAAAATCATTGCTAGTATAATATGTAGTGTATCAAAGTTTGTTTTTACTTTAATAATATTAAGTTTACAAAGTGTGATTTAAACAAAAAATAAATTGCATGGGTAAGCCTTATCAATATTAATATATTTTTAAAATAATTTATTACATAGCACATTGAATGTTGTTTTCAAGGGTGTCATGTCTGTCACTAAGAATTAGGTGATTCTTACTAAGTGTTTACTATCTTATATGTTATTCATTATTATAATCAAACGTCTCTCTTGATAACCAAATGTCGCCTACTAAGTGTTGACTACTAGAACACACCATATGTGTTGCTTGTCGAGACCTATGTATTGTCTATTATAATCAATAGTGAACTACTTTGTCACAAGTCAGTCTGTATTACTATTTCTACCCATCCACAAGGCAACTTACTTGACTACTTCTATCCAGTCATAAGTCTGTTTGTATTATTGTATCTACTCGACCACGTCGACTTACCTAACTATCACTACCTCACTATAAGTTAACACGTTTGACTACCTTTCAGACTACCAAAGCTAACAACGTACTACTTTGTAACTTGACTGAATCTGAATCAAACAATTGGCTCATGAAGTAAATGGGCCACCAAGGTCACCAAAACTCATATAGATGAGACTCGTAACATTATAATTATCCTATAAACAATACAGTTATCGAAATAAATATTTCTAACTTTCATTATTACAATACTAATTGTCATCTAATGCACTCAACTAACTTGAATATCAGAATGTCTTTTATAAACACACTTCTCATTCATTTTGTGGAGGACAAGTACCAATGAAAAAAAGGAATAACAGTTGATAAAGGAAAAATTAAAAAAGTTAATGAAATTAAAATCTATTTACAGAATATATTCAACTTTGTAAGAATATAAATAAATTTTCAAAAGGTACAAGAAAATAGAATGAATTATAATCTACTAAAGAAAAAAATGCACATAGAAAGCTTAAAAGAAAAAGGGGCAAATGATAAACCTTAACAGGGTGTCACTCCCTCCACCACCACCACTTCTCCCTCCACCTCCCCAACCTTCTCTAAAAAAAATTTTAATTACAAAAATAACCTTTTTTAATTACAAAAATAACCTTTATTTTATTTTTCATCATATTTATTTACTTTGAATTCAAACCCTATTTTTTTACCCACTCACTTTTCACTCAGTCCCACCACCAACTCTCCTTCTCTTTCTTTTAGATTCTCACCCCCCCCAACTCCACCACATTCGTCTTCTCAAAAACAATACATCAAAACATATAAATTACATTATTAAAATATATTTAAAATTAATATAGAAAATAAACTAATAAAAATAATTGGAAAATAAACGTATAATCTTTAAACGGATGTGACCATCCGTCAACGGATGTCAACATCTGTTTAAGGCAAAACGGATATCGACGTCCGTTTTCCCTTAAATGGGTGTTGACATCCGTTGACGGATGGTCACATCCGTTTAAAGATTATACGATAACTTTTTAGGATTTATTACGCATCTCCTTCACGACGAATCTTCCCACACCACCGCACCCCACCACACCGATCTTGCACGTTGATCAATTGCTTCCACCATCACTTACAATCTCGCACACTAACTAATGAAAGTCTACCATACTCTCATACCACAATTAGAATGAGAGGAAGAAGTATGAAAATGAAGAAGAAGAACATAAAATAAAAAGAGGAGGAAGAAGAGTTCCCACTGCGTGAAGGATTAGAGTGGGTAAAGATTAAAAATGATTAGAGTGGTTAGAGGTTAAAAGATATTAACCCTAAAATTTTATTAAG